GGGGGGACGAGTAAGAAACAGGTCTGGGCTGCTAGCGATTTGGAAGAAAAGGTTTAGACTTGATACTAGCAGGTTTGAGGAAAATGGGATTCATAATTAGTACATACGATAAGCAAGTCCAACTAGATAAAGCGGGTAGGGTTCTCTCAATAGCTACATCTTGTGGTAAGTGTCATACCAGAAGCTGAGCTCATGTAATACAGGTGATTGCCCATTTTGCATTGAATATGGTGGTAGATGCTATGACTTTGTACTTTCCCTAGAACTGCGGAGCACTTTCACTTAAAAAGTCCATTCATCCCTTTACATGTACGTTTGTAAATAAGCATACAGTTTGCATATTTTTGCTTCTTTTTAATGTATGCATGTCTATGTTTTTCATAGAAAAAGACAGAGCTTCTTCTTTGTATGTTTGTCTTCAATATAATCGTTCCTTTACGAGTTGTCCTTAAATACTGCTGTGGGTTGATGCATGCTGAAGGAAAATTGAATAGGACTCCAACCCTTTGACAGTCAGATGACATGCATGTGTAGTATTCGAGCAAAATATGGGGAAAAAAAATAGAAAAAGAGAGCGGAAAAAAAGATGGTTATTTTTGTTTAAATTTCTTTCTCAACCTTATTCTAATGCTAACTTTGCAGGAATGAGCGTGATAGGTTAGTAACAATCATCAACTCAAGGGTTGTTGATTTTTCATCACTAGAAGGAGAAGGCAGTTTTGGTTTGCGCTCCGCAATACCTGATCAAGCAATTGCAGATGGTAATAACACAAAGAATCTTTCATTCTCAAAAAAATATTTCAAAGAATCTTTCATGTGGTATGGCTGCCGTTCTTCCCACAGAGTGTTTGCATAAAAGCTGAATAGTCATCTATGTCTCATTCAGATACACTGGACCTCAGCAGTCGTGCAATTGTAGAAGCAAGGAAATGGTTAGAGGAAAAGAGAGAGGAAAAGAGAGACGGACTGGGTTTAGATATTACTCACGGAGGTTTAAGCTCTGGAGTTAAAAACGTGAGTAAAATCTTTATCTCTCTGTGTAAGTCTTTCATTTTGCAACCATCACATGGTTTATTTTAATTTACTACATTATGATTTCCCAGCTTTACAACAACAACAACAACAACTACCCAGTAAAATCCCACAAAGTGGGGTCTGGGGAGGGTAATGTGTACGCAGACCTTACCTCTACCCCGATAGGGCAGAGTATGATTTCCCAGCTTTATTAACTTGAAATTGTTTACAGTATTTTTTTCTTCACTGGCACGAATGTCTTCCTGTAGTTTCTTGACCAGATTTGTGTCCTCTGTTTCACATACCTAACCTTATTTTCCTTGAGTCTCTACATACTTTAGCTTGTAAATATGAAAAAAAAAAAACTTTAAGAAGAGGTCATTGTGAGTCTAAATTGATTCTGGATACTTGAAAAATGAGATAGTCTCTTTCCCGCTTAGTCTTGAATTTAGTTGCGTAGTTTATATGTGTATTTTATCTGTAATATTAATGCTACTTCTAACTCTCATCATTTACGGTAAGGAGCTTATTGTTGCTAGTTGTTGCCTATGTAATATTTGCCTGAACAAAGATTTCTATTTTTTTCTGCTGTCAGCTATGTGATACCGCAATGGAGCCTATGTAATAACTTGTCTTGATGCTGTCTTTGATATCTTGCTTGTGTAACGTAGGTGGATGATACTTTTGGCTCACCGGTAGATATGGCTAAGTCATATATGAAGGTTCGTCCTCCATGGGCCTCTCCTGCTGTTGATCATAGTGGACTTGGAACCCCCTCACATCTGAAGGCAAAGCTCTTTGAGGAAGGAACACCGCATAGTGGGGATTCTTCCTCTTCCTTAAAGGTATTTGAAGATTTCGGAATTGCGTTCATTGCTGCCATTTCACATTCAATTTGGAGGATGTTCACCCTTATTTACGGAATGGTGGTTATGGTTCAGAAATAATATTTATGGAATGGTGGTTAAACCTTGGTTTGCTAACATTAGACAACAATGTCCTAAATTACCACTGCAAGATTTGATGATTCAAAGAGCCGAAATTTGGTTAGTTATTTCAGATAGAACTGATTTGAAGGATTTGAAAAGCAATAAATTGGAGACTCGTGCTATTTTCTTGTTAGAAAGTTGAAAAAAATAAGATGAGAAGGTGACAGAGAAGAAAGGTTGCTTAGATGCTGTTGAGAATAATGTGTATATTAGTTAGAATCAATTAGGGAGATAATGTTTAATTGTAGTCATGTAGTCTTAATTTGTTTCCTAGGTTAAAAAAGTTGTTTGTACTGTTTAAACATCCAATAGCTTAGGAGAACGATGAAGCTTCTCTTTCCTGTGTATTCTCTTTCTCACATGGTATCAGAGAGCAGGAAGAGATTCTGGCTTCTAGTCTCACCGCCACTCATTTTCAAAAAGAATCTCCGCATGCTTGGCCATGAAAAGAATCAAGCCCACACATGAGGGGGTGTATTGATGAGATAATTAAATAATAAAAGTGTGCTCTTTTTAACATCATAAACTTTTAGATGAGATGGTGACACACTCACAAACGTGGTGCTTTTTGGTTTATATCGTAGTTAGAAATTGATGATGCTTTAATCTCTTGTATACCATTTAGTTGAGTTCGTTTTTTGAATAAGAGCATATCTTGTCATTAGGTGAAGAAGGGATGCTAAGGAGAATTCTAATGTTCTATGCCTGAAGTAAAGAATGAGTAATTATGGCCTAGGATAGAATGGAAGGGGATGCAATAGCTGTCATAAATCCAGCCTTGGATCCATTCCTCTTGCTTGTCATTTCCACTTTTCCTTGTATACTAGAGGGCTAAATCATGGGGCATCTATTTGATATTTTGGTGTAGAATAATGGTTCTTCATTTTCCTGCTTTCTTCTTATTACAATTCTGCTTTACTTTCCTTTTTCTTTATCTACAAATTTTGGAATTGTTTTGCTTTTTTTTTTGGGAGGTGGTGGGGGAAAGTACTCGGATACTCTGTGATGACTGTTTTTGTCTCTTACATTCCAAACTTCCTACCTCTGTCAGGTGACAGACTAAACTTCTAAAAGGCTTATAAAATGAATTTCCATTACTCCCTTCTACTGCATTCTCTCTCTTTTGGTGGCTCCTACTGCATTGTTGTCTCATGAGTGGTTCATTTTCCCTACGCACTTATGTGTTGCCTTCATTTTGAAAGAACTATGATAGGTTTTGTAACTTTTGCATTATTTGATTTTTGGATTATTGCTGATAATAAAGGTAGCTAAAGCTCTTCGGAGATTTATCATGTTGACCTCAAGAATTTCTCAAAAACGTCTTGATGCTTTTGACTGTGAATTTTGTCTCCTAATGGTTGTTTCCAGAAGAGGCAAATCCACGATTTGAAGTTTATGGGTTCCTATGGCGACCTTAAGTCAATATACATTAATAATTAGGTCCACACTCAGATATTGATATATATTTTGTGGATTTTTAATACATATACAAGGTTTGGACAAAAGCTACTGGTTTCATGTGAACCGTAGGATACATGGTACATCCGCCCCTGCTTGCCTGTTTAGTTGTTGCTCAGATACTGTTCCATTTTTTATGCGCAGTTGATGTGTTTTTTTTAATTTTCTTAATAGGTAAAACACTTTTGTTAAAACCTTTCTCCCTCGACAATACCTTTTTCCTTGGAAATCTATATCTTATATTATGTCATGTTCCGAGCTATACCTTTGATCACGCTTTATGACTTGAGTAGTGATTTGAAGGAGGCTCCATGCTTCTGAACTTTGTAAATCGGGCATGTCATGTTGCCAAAGATGACGAAACAGCTACCAAGTAGTAGTAAACTTTTACTTAATCAATTTTCTATTATTTCCTCCTAGGCTTACCAGTAGTACTAAGACTATTTTTATATTATCTTAGTCATGGTTCTTTATTATTACATGTTGTTTGTTGTTATTGTTGTTGTGTCGTTCACGCTCGTCACCATAATACATTGTTGTCACCTTTGTGTACTACTTGGTTGCTTTATCTTATCTCTACTATTCCTTGAGCTGAGGGTCTATCGGAAACAACCTCTCTATCTTTATAAGGTAGGGGTAAGGTCTGCGTACACACTACCCTCCCCAGACCCCATTTATGAGATTACACTGGGTTTGTTGTTGTTGTTGTTGTTGTTGTTGCTGCTATCTTCTGATATGTGTTTTGCAACTGGATCACAGAAAATGAATTCTTTTGCATCTGGCTCATGGAATATTCATGATGAAATACGAAAAGTACGGTCAAAAGCAACTGAGGATCTGTTACGTGCTCGCCCTTCCAAGGCAGAACCAAAATCTGCAGTTGGTAATTTGACAGGAACTAGTACCAGAGAGAAGATAAATAGCTCAAGTTCTTTGAGACTTACTAAACTGTCAGATGTACCAATTAAGTGGTCAGGTGTGTTAAGCTCTAATCTTGCCTCCTGCTGCAAATTACTAGCTTTCTGCTGAACCTCATCTTTTCCCCTTTCAGATGTGGAAATAACACAAGATGGTGGAGAAAATATCACTCAGCCTCTACATCCTGCCTCTTCTGTTCAGCTCCATGACCAGGTAATTGTTTTAGGGGTTTCAGTTGCCTTATTCAGTATTTGCAACATATGGACTATAAAAATATAGCATCTCGTATGGACAACAGAATATCATGTTCGCTTTATACTCTTGTCCTAATACTATTCAAGCTTTACAGGGTATTGAGGTAAGTAGGGTTGGCGAGCATGCTGCTTGTGAATCGCACAGGCCCAATGGTCCAGCTTTCCCCTCAGAGCACAGTGATGGTACTTGAGGCCATTCTTTATAATATGTTTGTTGGTTTTATGATGTGAAGCTAATTCGAAGTAATGGGTTCAAAAGTTAACTATTTACTTCTTACCAGGACAATTTCTCTTACACATCTAACTGTTTTTACGTGTTCAGGTCTTCATATAACTGGCGCTGATGCACAGGAAGTGACTCAAACAAATGCAGCACAAAGTTCTAATGGCTATACATCAATAGAAATAGAAGCTAGGTAAAAAATTAATGACGTAGCTCTTTTAGATTTCTGTAGCTGGAACCACAATAATGCTGGTTCTGTCGACAGTTTGTCTGCAGGTCTAACATCAGGACAAAACAATGTGCATGTCGGCGGTGAGAAGCCGAAACCAGGAATGTCGAGTCAGCAGAAATTAACTGAATCTACCCAAGTCGAGGATAAGTGTGAGCTTCTTAGCGAATCTGCTGTGGATGTACCAGAAATGAACGAAACAACCGACAGTCCAGCTGCTTCGATGCCTAGTGAGGAATTATCACAGGAGGAACCGGGTTTGGTACGTGAGTTGGCAAAGAATGGCAAAGTTGTGAAGCAACAAGGAAACAGACCAGTCAGAAATGTGAGAAAGACTAGAGCAAAGAGGTAAATGATGAGATACGCAGACCAGGCAGTTTGTAGACCTGAAGCTTATGTATATTAGCTTGAAGAAGAAATCTAAGCTATTGTAGGAGTATACTTGATTAATTTAAGCTATTGTAGGAGAATCCTTGATTCATCTTTTCCTTTCTTTGTTGACCATGTTGTGTAGTTGTATTCTTAAGTTCGTGTAGGGGACTATTACCAATATTCTCTCTCTCTCTCTCTCTCTCTCTCTCTCTCTCTCTCTGTTGTGTGTGTTAGCACAAAAATATGATGTTGCTTTCCAGGTTTTCTGTAACAAAATTATTTTTCTGTTGAATCGCAAAAGTATGCTTTTATAGCATTTAGATCTAACCAGGAGGCAAATCTCTATTAATTCCCATTTAGGGTACTGAGGATTGATTTTTGCTAAGGGGATATTTGGGAGTTCATGCCTTTTCAGATGTTTTAGGTTTAGATTTTAAATCCCAAACAATCAAGATTCAACTACTCAATATATCTCTAGTACCTTCAAGCAGACAGATCAAGAAAATTGTTCTCGAAGTCTGCTTTGATCTTTTGTCAGACTATGATTCAAAACTTTCCACTTTGGCCACTTCAAATATGATTCTTCGTCCTTGCTTAAGTCATAACTCAGAGTGACTCCCCCTTAACGTTTATTTCACAGATTGGAGAGAATAATTTTTGGAGCAGATGTAAACTTTTAATTAGAAATGCAGGTAAGACTGCGTACTATAGACCCTTGTGGTCAGGCCATTCCCCGGACCCTGTGGTCAGGCCATTCCCCGGACCCCGCGCAAAGCGGGAGCTATGTAAACTTCTAATTAGATTGTTTCCCTTTTGGTTTTTTCTTTTTCTACCTTCTCTTCCATGAGTTTCTGCCATTAAATCCATTCACAATATCGAATTGCATTCGTTTCTTATCGTACAAGCATTTATTCTTTCCTTAGTTTTGGCTCTTCCCTCTGATTTTCTTTCTTTTTATGGGAAAACATTTGTTAAAGGAAGTGATGTAAATACATGAAATGCTATTATAGAAGCTAACGGAATATAATAAAAAGTTACAAAACAACTTCTACAAATGACCATAAAAGCTGTGAAGAATTAGAGAAAGCATGATGCTGAAACTTTGAGAAAATGTTGTCACTTCCACACCAAAAAAAAAAAAATTCCCAGTTCACCTAGCAAAATCAATATACCTAATACAGATAAGAGAGAACCTAGCAAGATGATCAACTCTTAATCAACTTTACTTTCCTGTTCTCCAGCCAGGTGAAAACTTAAGACCATGGATCTAATTCAATTAATCCACCTACCAATTTCCAGCAAGGAGTTTACCAATCAACCGTCTGAGAAAGAAAACAATATTGCTATATGGTGTATCCAAAAACCAAAGTTGCTAGATAAATATTATAGCACTCGTACAAATATTGCAAGATAAGCCGTATAGTGCATTCATATGGAAGGGACTAATATGGTATATTTTTAGGGAGGTTACGAATGACATTGCTTTTCATGCCAATCTTAGAGCGCATTGCATCTACGCCACATCTGTTCATGGCCTTCAACACCTTCATCTTAACCATGTGCACCCTCGACTGCACGGTTGCTAGACCCATGCTTCGATACCTGAGATGAGAAAAGATTGTTTGCTTAAATGACTAATATTAGGTGTCAATGCGCGCCATGTAACAAGTCAAATATATACCTCGAGGCTAAGGCAGCACTTAAAGCTATATCATTAGTGCGCGTAGGCCTTGGCTTCTGGCGGTAGTATCTCAAAAACTCTCGTGATCCAAGTGCTTTAACAGACGCTCCATCATCAGTTCTTGTGGTTATTATGAGTTCAGATCCACCACTTCCAAGTTCCACACTGTTGTCAACATCGTTGGACAAAACGAGCTGCTTTCCAGTTGCATCCATATAGCTAGAATATGGGAAATACAACTCTTAGTAAATATATAACAAAAGGAGAATGATAATTATATGCATTCTAGTCTTAATATCTTGGAAACTATCTTATCAACAAGCATACCTGCTGCTATAGTCATAAAACTCTTCTAAATCCGCTTCTTCATCATCACCACCATCACCATAACGCACTTTGCAATGACTTTTTGCTTCCATATGCTTCCGAGCTGCTTCTAAACTACTGAAAGGGTGACATCTATCGTTGCAATACAGACACATAAAATCCCTTTTAACCTGAGGAAATAAAAAATGCATAAATAAGTATATCTAAATAATCTTGAAGAAACAAAAAGAAAAAAGATACCTAAAATATTTACCTTGAGACCAAGATAAGTAAGGAAACCTTTAGGATCCTTCAGATACTCGACATCAGGAATGAAGAACCCATGCTTCTTGTGCATATGGGCCATGCAACTTTCTATCGCATCGTGTTTTAAATCACACATGAAACAACAACACGGATCCAACTCATCAATGTGTTCATCAAGATCACTATCTTCATCGATAGTACCATTAGGAGTACTTCCGTTCATCTTTAATTGATTCAACGCGATAGTCGCCCCACCAACCATCTCTTCTTCTGAATCGACCTCCTCCCACTCGCTTTCATCACTTCCATTAATATCTTCATCTGCCCTGTCGGAAGGCTCATGTGAAGGTTGGCGTGGAAGAGGCTTGATGATAACACTATTCTCATTGTGATGACCTGGCTCTCGCGAAGCCCGTGCTAAGTGACTTTTAGATTGCAGATGCTGAGCATGAGCCTTAGAACTTCTGTATTCTTTGCCACAATTACCACAGCTATATAGCAAAGGAGTTTCGCTTAATCGTCTATTTTCTTCTGCAAGTGCAGATTGCCTGGCTATAAAGAGTGCCTCTGTCAATCCAGGAACTCCGGCAACCTGAGATAAAAGTCAAGGAACACAACAATGAGTATTATCCATGCACAACAATGTCACAAACAATGGCGACGACACAAATTACTCCCCAGATTCTAAAATGAAAGAGCTTCTTTTTAATACCCAGTAATCCCCAGCCAGTTAGTGCACAGTTCGAAACTAGGTGGATAATGATTCCGCTCCTCTACTCTTCTTCACTTAAATACCGACCTTTGGTCAAAGCAGGGTTTGAACCCGTGATGTGCGCCTAACCCGCACATCACGAGCTACGCTCTTACCACTAGACCAAAGAATTCTAAGATGGGTGAGTAATGCAACAATTAACGCGTTTGCTCCTCTACCCTTCTTCACGTAAATACCAACCTTTGGTCAAAGCAGGGTTCGAACCTGTGATATGCTCTTATCACTAGACCGAAGAATTCTAAAATGGGTGATTAATGCAACAATTAGCCTAATTTTGCAAAATGCAACTCTCTAATCATCATTGATTTCAGTTGCTCAACGAACTTGCATCAATGGCAAAAACAGAACACCTCACCTAAAAACTTAATTCTCTCATCTAAAAACTTAATCACACCATTCAACAAAGTACAACACAAAGGAAAGAAAATATCCCATCAAAATACACAGGAGAAAAAAAAAATGAATCTTCACGCAAGAAAAATCATTCTAAATGAACAAAAGCATAATTCTAAACAAAAATGATCAACGCAGAACTCCAAGAAAACCAAATCTAGTATTCATTTTCAAGTACTAGCAAACATGATAGAGATCATAATCAGTCATAAAAAAGTAAAAAATAAAAACCAAACAAAGAAAACAGAGTTTTTGCAGGCAGTAAAACACAAAAGAAAGAAGAAATCCGATAAATACACTGAAACAAGAAGTATGCAACAAAAAAATGATTTTACTTTTAAAAAGAAGGTATTTATTTAGCAGTACCTTGCGTTTAAGATTGTAACGGTGCCATTCAGATTTGTAATGAAGTTTTTGCTCATTTTCGTCGAAAAACTCCTTGTTACAGGCGTTACAAGCTAAGCCCCGCATTTCAAATCTTTTTCTATTTCCTACTTTGTTTGAGTCGAATTCCGTTTGAAATTGAAGGCTCCATCTCCAAATATAGCAGCGTAAGGAGTTGTTTGGCGCTGATCACAGGTCGGCCAAATGCTGTCGCAAGCACAAACGTATTTGCCAGATACTAGGGGAAAGGGTTTTTGGCACTTTTGGTCCTTGTGTTTTCAGTTAATATAAAATTTATCCCAAACAATTGGGAGTTGTCAAAGTTAGCTCATTATAATTTATTGAGTTTGGATATAAATTGGTTGATGTTTGGAAAAAAAAAAAGCATTATTTGAAGGTAAGTTAAAAAATAGTATTTGAAAATTAACTGAAATAATCTCCACCTACTATGACGAACATGTTATGAACAATAAAAGAAGAAGAATATTACAGAGAAAAGTAGGGACAGAGAATTCTTATTGATTTTGGTATCAATTACAATAGAATAGGAGGCGAAAAGTGACTTAGCCACCAAGTAAAATTCTTACAATCTCTCTAAAATATAGACATTCACCTTAAATAAAACTCTATTTATAACAGAACATAATATTTTTAAATATTTAAACAATTAGATTACTTATTAGGTAATTATATTCTGATAGACATTAATGTGTAAAATGATAATAGTAATAACTAACATGCTACAAGTTATAGCGTAAGAATCTTTACATATACTATAACTTCATAAATTGGGCTAAAAATATGCTCATTTTCGGGTCAATTTGAATAAATGTTAGAACATAGAAGAAAATATATTTTTGATTTGATTTTACTATTTCTATATAATAGAAAAGCTGGAGTTTCGATGTGGCTTCTTAGAGTCATTTAATGAAAAGCTGAGGCTAATTTCGTCAATTCACCTATTATCATATGAATTGTACGTACGTGGCTATTATTTCTACAAGCCACCGCACCTCTATAGGGACATCAGCCGCTTGACGAATGTCCAGGTTCTACCTCCGCTCTTTTCATATTCTCTCAATATGACTTTTCCAATGTTCTCTATTCGCTTTTCTATCATCTCTACTTCAAAGAGTTATTTTATTTGATTTTCAGTTTGGACTTGACATAGAACCCTAAGTATTGAAAAGAAGCCTTTTAATTCTCTGCATCTTCTTCATTTCTTCTTATCTTCTATGATGAATGTTCTAATTTCATGTCCGCTCCTCTCAATTTTTGCCTAAATTTTCTTATCCTTTTTTCTTTATTTTTTTCCTTTCGGTATTTTTGTTGGGTTCTCTTCATACTTCTTGTAGTTATATGTTATCATTTGCTTCTCTCTCTTTGCTTAATTTCTATTCTCTCGCTTTTAATTTTTCTTTGTTGGAACATTCTTTTTTGCTTTATTTATTGGAAAATAAAATCTTGGATGTTGTTAATTAATACTGAATATTTTTACTTTTGGTGTTTGGCAGGCTACTT